TTACAAAAGTAACCAAATATAATATGATAAAGGATATCCGAGGGTTTCCGAAGCAACTTAGACTCTGGATATAAATATCCAGAGAATAACCAGGGATTCCGAAAATACTATTTTTATTAAATACTTTTGTATTTTGGCTTACAAATTATTTATTTTCGGCTTTGTTTTGACATGCTGAAATATTTGTTTTGGTGCTCTTCATCTCCAATAACCCTACTTGCACTCTGTGGGCGGTTCGGAGCACGTCCATCGATTTATTGGCCATGAACTCTCCTAAATCTGTGCACTTTGAGTAGCTCTCATACAGCCAATTGTCTACTCTACTCAACACGATGCCTGCCAAGACCTCGCGGAGCGTGCCAAAGCCACGTCGAAAGCCCGCTTCAGCGCTCTCACGAGCGCCGAAGAAGGCCAAGCCGCCGAAAAAGAAGGTTCGCACAGACCCGTTCACATCAAAGCAAGTGTCGTCTTTCTACTTCAAGGCTGTACTCGACGATGATGGAGACCCTACTGGAGTATACGTATGCCGCTGTGGTGTTCAGCGCCGAATGGAGCCCAACACTGGCTACACCAATCTACTTGGCCACGTCTTCATGTGGCACACGAACTTTGTCGCCGAGATGACCAGCGCCAGTACAAGTACTGGCACGTTGGTTGGGTTTATCGACGACAAGACCCACAAGGTCTTCTCTTGGATCGACATGGTGCTCTCGTGCAACCTGCCCTTCTCATTCTGTGAGACTAGCGCGGCTTCTAACTACGTTATGATTGGGGGCCTTTCGACGGACAGTCTGGTGAAGTACATGCGACTGTTAGTCCGTGTAGTCGAAACTGTGATTGCTGGTATCCTGCCTAAGTTGTTTGGTATCATTTTCGACGGGTGGACTTTCTGGTCGGAGCATTATGTCGCAGTTTTTTGCGTCCTTTCGCCACGTCGACAAGATGCAGAACATTCTGATCGCTATAGCGCCAATTATTGGTGATGAGATCAGCGACCATACTGCCAGCAGCCACGTCAAGTTCCTGGACGTCATTCTTTCCTACTATGGCCGGAGCAAAGCCAGTACCGCTTACATTGTCGGAGATAATTGCTCCGTGAACGGCGCTGTCGCGGATCAGCTGCAGGTTCCGATGGTGGGCTGCGCCAGCCATCGTCTGAACCTGGCGGTGAACTTACTTCTCGCTGGCGACGACAAGCTACTCGATAAGATACAGAAGTTGATGTACAAGGTGAAAAATTTGCTGCTGGTGTCTGCAAAATTACGGCGAGTTTAATCTATGATTATGTTTGTTCTCAAATGTAATGTGCTTTTTTGTGCTAGTTGAAAAACGCTCCTTCGACCTGTTCCTAGACAGGACACTCGCTGGTCATCTACTTTTGCTATGGTTAACAGATACTTCGAGCTGAAGGAGTTTCTTAGTGACGACGACAAGGACGAGCTAACTGGGTTTCTGCCAACCCGGCGAGAGGAGATGCAGCTGAAGTCGATCGTCGCCAACCTCAAGATGTTCGAGTCAACCTCGAAGAAACTGCAAAGTGCAGACGCGGTAACACTACTCGACGTGCGCGACCTCTTGGCGCGCACATTGCACAGAAGCCAGAAGTCGCCCACTACCTCGCTGCTGATGCAGCGATCGTCAAGAGCCCTGCTTTCGAACGAGCTTGTGTGAGTGTGCTGCTGGGTCGTGGAGGCGCGCTGAGTGACGACGACAAGGCTATGCTGGAGCCGCTGGCCGCGGAAGCAGCCCCACTGGTGAGCTCTTCGGAGACTACGTCGCTCGATGAAGGATTCGCCGCTGTTACGCTCGATCGTGCGAGACGGCTTCGTCAAGCTACTTCACGCTTTAACGATCAGGTAGCTGTGATCGCTTCGACTTCGAACGTCGTCGAGAGATTCTTTAGTCAAGCGAAGGCAGTAGTTGGTATGCACCGCCAAGCCATGACTCCATTGCATCTAGAAAGTATCCTCTTCCTGAAGGTGAACCGCTCGTACTGGAGCGCAGCAACAGTGCGCAAGGTCGTCCGTGGCACGCAATAAGCTCACAATATTCATACAACACACAAACGTCTATGTATTGCTTGCAATACGTCCAATTATTGCAGTCAACTCTGAAGGAAGACATGCAAAGTTATTTGTATTGCTGCATTCACGAACCAAATAACAAGAGCATTTTCGGAACCCCTGCTCATAACACTGCTTTGAGCCTGTCCGCGCAGCGCTTGGAGGCCAAGCAGAACATCAAAGTGTGCTAAATCGCGACTACAAAGATTAACTGTCGAAAAGGATAGATATCTACGTCAGCGGCAGTAACTGGTGACCGTGCTGATACATAAATTACCATCACAAGTACAGCTTCCAGTTTATTCAGCGGTTAGCGGTTTTGTGTTGATAGATTGTAGTTCGGTGTTCTACCAAGTCCATTAAAACCTGATGTTGGATAGATGTATTCTATCTACCAATGTTAATAATCTAAACCTCGAAGAAAGCAAACAAACAAATATGATGTAGCGTTACCGATCGCTAATGTGTTGCAAAGTGAGTAACTCTTCAAACGCGATACTGTATCGTCGATACACATCAAAATGTGACTCAAATAGCACGTAATAATATGAGGATGGCAAACAAGGAGCAGTAGAAGCGCTATGAAGCACTTAACCTATACCGTGGGCCTTCTCTTGCCTTGATAAATCGGGCTGATGGCTTTATGAAGGCCGAACTGCTTTTGTTGTGAGGGATCGCTGATATAGTCACTGTAAGAACTTATTCATACTCCTAACCATTAAACATTAATAAATGCGCTTTGTAACGATTAGGAAAAGGAGCTAGAAGTGAACATATTATTATTCATATTTTCAAACACAAATCTATTTAATTAATTGTATTGAAATTTCTTGTTCAATACCACAACATTCAAAATTTTAATTTTAAATGCATCAATTGTAAGTTACAATTTGAAACCCTTTTTGATAAACAAGATAATGGTCCGCCCACATGTAACTACTGTTTTGAAGCTTATGAATGATCTATGAAAGCTGGACAAAACGACTTTTTTTAACGTGTTTAAGCTATTTTATAACTTCCTTAATGTTTATTTTACTAAGTTTTAAATAAGAAAACATCGATGGAAAAGTCAAAATGCGTCCGTATAATTAAACAACTTTTTAACGTTTTATCAGCTATATTGACAAGCCAGAAGCTATTCACATGGCAAGCTGAGCGGAATCACTCCATCCTAAACCATACTCAGACTAATAGAACTTGGTAGTGCTATGCTAGCTATAATTGCAAAATTTGCGAAATTTGCGAGTAATTTGAATGAAGAAATCAATGGTCACCAACTTTAGAATTACACTGGTAAATAAGTATTGGAAAGATGCGTTAACTCGCCACACAACTTAGGCGAGAACCTTAGCCGTAGACTTTAGCAGATTGTGGCGGAGAGCTCGCGGTAGACCTAAACAAAAACAAAACGTTTCATATATTGTTGATTCAATACTAGATAGCGTCATGGTTCAGTAAAATAAATAATTTGCTTATTAAGATCCACCGAATAAATACCCACCAAAGTAGCACGCAGCAGTCTGCCTTGGCGTGAACTTGCAACTCGAGCGTTAAGATGGCACTAAAATAAAGTGTATACTAGCCGAATTTGTTTATATGGGTTTGCTATTTTGAAATCAATAAAATTTGTGTAAAAATTATGAAAATAATAATGAGTTGGGTTGAGTCCATACGTCATCGAGCTTTTTTTTGTTAAAAGCAGAATTTACTATCCTGAAATGAATAAGTGTCCCACGAGAAGAGAAGTGATAGTATCATTAGATTTCGTCGATGAACATCGCGAATATTGATAAAGTGGACGTCATTGAGCTTGTGCTCGAGTTATATGTGTGCTGACAGTTAAAGCAGTACCCGTGAATCTTCAGGCACCATTAACAGGAAATTTCAAGCCCACCGCGTATTACAAATACAACATACACACTTTTTCACCAACAAAAAAATAAATCAAATTCACGATTATTCACTTCAAAGACTCTTGGAATACAACTCGTTCTTGACTGCTGCGCTTCGCTCTTCCAACCGCTTCGAGTTGGGTGGATCCACTCGCATCGTATAGTTGTACCGACGACGGAAGTCCTTCTTTTCCGTCAGCGAACGCAGCGCAAAATAGTATTTGGCGTACACGGTGGCGGAAATGTAGAGATCCCACTGGATGTGGTGCAGGAAGAGCCGCTCGAGGCGGTTGATCGAGTGCAGCGAGAACTGCGGATAAATATTGCTGATCTCGACATTCCACGAGCTCAAGTCTTGCCACACTTTGGACGCCAGCAGCAGACCACACACCACAATAGGTCTCCATGTGGCTGCAAGCAGCGGCACATTGGCCTGCTCCATCAGCCTCTCAATGTAGATCAAGCACACAATAGTGCACTCAGCGCTCAGCTGCGCCTTGTTGAATAAATTCTTGCAGAACCGGAAGATCTCGTCCACACTGGGGACATGCCTCTTAGAAGTAATTTTCTCCATCCGGTATACCGTCATTGGGTGCACTCTCGGCAACCTCACAAACGTATACTTGTATTGAGGCGTGACGAAATGTTCCTCTCTGAACGTTTCCTCGACTGGCAGATCTATGAGTCTCGGAGACGAAATACTACTAGGATTCGTAGTATTTCCCTCGTCTCTCTCTGCCACTTCGTCCATTTCATAAACTTCCGAAGTTTCTTCCGAGATATTGAATGTCGCCGTGTCC